CGTCCCACTTGTCAAAGCATGTCCAACTCGTCCCACTTGCCAAAGCATGTCCAACTCGTCCCACTTGTCAAAGCGTGTCCGACTCATCCCACTTGCCAAAGCGTGTCCAACTCATCCCACTTGTCAAAGCATGTCCAACTTGTCAAAGCGTGTCCAACTTGTCAAAGCGTGTCCAACTCGTCCCACTTGTCAAAGCGTATCCAACTCGTCCCACTTGTCAAAGCATGTCCAAATCATCCCACTTGTCAAAGCATGTCCCACTTGTCGAAGCGTGTCCCACTTGTCAAAGCGTGTCCAACTCGTCCCACTTGCCAAAGCATGTCCAACTCGTCCCACTTGTCAAAGCGTGTCCAACTCGTCCCACTTGCCAAAGCATGTCCAACTTGTCAAAGCGTGTCCAACTCGTCCCACTTGTCAAAGCGTGTCCAACTCATCCCACTTGTCAAAGCATGTCCAACTCGTCCCACTTGTCAAAGCATGTCCAACTCATCCCACTTGTCATTTGCTGAACTTCCTAAATCAAAAGCCTTTGTGGTTGAAAGTATTGAAACTTTCATATAAAGTATTGAAACTTTCATATGGTTGACTTTATTGTTCATTTCCCCCAACATTGTTGCACAAAACAAGTACTCAGCTTATGATAAAGACAAAGTCAAATGACAAAAACCATGTGTAATTATTTTAATGATCAGTCTGTACAGTTACCATGGTGATCCCCCAAACTTCATTCAACCAGACTTACCATTTTCTATATGTTTATTTTAAAAAAAACAAAAAAACTTAGCTTCTAACTCCATTTGCCAAGTGGTTTATATTATACTGGTAATAAAACCTTACAGAAACTTACTGGCCCATGCCGGTTTTTATTAATGGGGCTATTCCTGACTAGTTGAAAGGTAGTTTTTAATAGCAGTATTGTGAGGTTTAATGGCTGAACCAGGAACTCAACCAGCTTCAACCAATTGCATTCCATCACCAAAAATCTTTCAATACAAAATAGCCATTTCAAATATATCCCAATTACCATATGTAGGGAATTATTTTACCCCCCGCCCCCCAAATGATAGAAATAGATGGAAATAAAAATAGTGGTTCTATGGAATACTTCGATGCTAAGCTTCTTTTTCTCTTTTTAGTAGTTCTATTTTTAATTTAACAAAAACAGAATGAAATAATGCAGTAATCTAATTTTTTAAAATAAAAATACATATGTCTTTAAGCTACACAGTATTAATTAATCAATGTTGACTCAAGACTTAGTTTGATCAGCCCCGCCTCAGCCAGCTCTTAAAAGATGTTCATTATATTTACACAGGAAAAAAGATGGCTTTATTCTCTAACCCAATCTTCAAAATACCATTTTGCTATACCGATACTATAAACTTATTTCGTAGCTTTCACAAATTAACAGGCTAGAATTCTATTTTGGACTGCAGGTAGTCTGAAATATTTGGTTATTTCCATTGAAACCCTTCGCTGCGCCTTTTTAAAAAGAGCTATCTACGTGCAACACTACGTAACTAAATTATGAGCCCCATCGGAGGAGGCACACTCCTTTAATAATTAGTACTATTCAAATAATACTTTGAGTTCTATTTGGGCGGAACAAATGTAATTTGCAAATGTAAAAAAATATATATATAAAAATGGGAATATAATGATCCACACAAAACTAAAGCTGTACAACATGAGCATTAATAGCCGTTAGCTTTATATGTTTTCATCAGTGGTCCATGGATAACATTTCTAGTAATTCATTTAAAAAAACTTAATGTGTTATATTGCACAGCTATTTATTTAAATAACAGGTTTAATTTTTTTTAAGTAAAATGTAGGGGAAAAAATTCTTAAACCATCCTATTGCATATAGACTAGGCTCTTTTTCATATAGCTGAAGCTCCTTATACATTTTGCTAGGGAGAAGAAATTTGTTATAAACAGCTGATACCTTATAAAAATAGAGTGAGCTAATATTATATAACACAAATAGTTCAATTTTCAATTGATATTTTTTAAAAACATAATAAATCAATCAATGTACATTTGATGGGTATTATTTAAATAACTGTTTCATTTAATTCAAGGAACTGTTCAGAAATCCAGTTCTGTGCATAAAAAGAAACAACAGATCATTACAGTGCCATTACTGCCATGTTGAGGGTCACTCTCTTCATATCATCATAAACAGACTACAAAAACAAAAAACATTCATTCAGAAGTCCAGCATACACCACCAGGCACAGAGCTGCATCCATTGTTGTAAACAGATGGAAGGTCGCCCTCCTCATTGTATAAATAATAACATAATACAGCAGTAGAATTTGCTTGGTCTGCTAAAGGAAGTAGTCTGGCTGGGGCTTCTTAGAAGGGATGCCTCTGGATTCCTTTGGACAATTATAGAAATAAAATCAACATTAATCATCAAAATCAAATAGAATCATTTTGAATGTTTAATTCAGCAAGGTATTGATTGGGATTAGGTAGAGAAAAATAGTCAGAAATTGCCCCGAAAATCAACTCAGCCTGGCTGAAAACTTTTTACAGGAGGCCTGAAATTTGGATAAAATCATTTTTATTTGTTAACTCATGCTAGCTCCAGAGAAGTCTTAAACCTGAATTCAATTTCAATGAACCAATTATCACATAATAAGTCTGGTAAAATCGATTGCACACACCTGTGGAGCTGCTTCAAATATCGTGAAGTCTCTCTTTAAATTTTCATCTAGTTCAAGAATAGCTGCAACATTCCCGCACCTTCAGGGAAAATAAAAATTTTTGAATAAGAATTGGCAACAAATTATACATCAGATACACAAAGACTAAGATAATGCTAAAGGGGCATATTTTCAGCTGTTTTAAGGAATAGCAAGAATTATCTTAAGAGTACAAATTATTTTTATAACACTAAGAAAGCAGAAAATAAAATAAAAAGACAAGAAAAGCTCTATTACATTTTTGTAAACACCAATCTAAGAAAATGTATGATAAAATGCATTATACCTGTAGCAGTAATTTGGAGCTGACCAAACTGTAAGTACCATCTCACCAAAATGCCATTTGTATCCTTCCATCACAAGCTGGTGTGCCCGACATATCAAATCTACCTCATTCTCTTGGCAAAATGAGTTGACTACATCGCTGCCAAACAGATAACCAGCACCTCTTGGACTTACTCCCCAGCCTTGCATATCTAAAGAATAGAAGTTGGTAGTAGTGTTAAATGGTATTCGCGTTGTCTTAATTGAATCTCAAGATGTCAAACAAAACAGGAGACACTCAGAAGAGGAAACCACACAAAAAAGTTGCTTAAAATGCTGATAAAATAATTTCAACACTGAATCAAGCCAGAAAACATTTGAGCGATTCATTAAAATTAAAATGCTTAAATCCTTTTCAGTTAAGAGGATAAAGTTTCAAGCAGATCTATGGAGTGTTTATGAGTGTTTTTAATTGTTTTTTTATTTTTTTTATATAGTTAAAATGTTAGCATAAAACTAAAAACCTACATCATTTAACTCATTCCCGACGTTTGCGACTAAATGCGTCTTTTACGGGTTTCGCCGGATGCGACCAAATGCGTCCCGGCGCATAGCGACACACCTCTCTCATATCTATTTAAAAATAGCAATGAAATCTCGCATCCCTCGAGACTTCTGGCGATTCCGTGGTTCAGCGTGATTTTAATTTAAAAACCGGAAGTTTTTATCTTGTTTCACTTTAAAACTACGTGTGCTTTAGTACGGCGCATCTATATGTAGCATGTGTTCGTCCGAGGTGCCGAAAATCGATTTTTTTGCCATTGCTCGTTATTTTTTCACCGCTTATGTTATATTTATATTAAACCTTATTCATTTTTTGTTGCATTTGTTCTTAATTCATTAACATTAAATAATATTTAGTAGCTTAAAATAAATAAATACATATTTAAAAAATGTAAACAATTTCAAAACGGGGTTACTTCCCTTTCTCAGGCAAATAAATTAAATACGGAAGTAGCATTGCAGGAGGGAATGAGTTAAGCAATTGTGTGAAGGCTAAAAATTCAAGTTGAGTTTTGGATTTTTGCTCTTTTTAAATTATAAGACACTCTCTTCTATATGTCAACAAATAAATTGAAAGCACATAACTTTTCTGACAATTACCAACCTTCTGGGTCTGACCATAATAAATCACACATGGGCCCATCATGAGGGACCTCTTGTTTCCTGTCAATCTGTCTAATCTGATCAAGAGATGTAATGGATGGGGAGAGTCCACCATGCACACAGAATATCTGTCCAAAATAAAAATCAAAGTTAGATGAGTTTGCTTGTGATGCAATGAAAAAAATTATTTCTGTTGAATTTCCTTTCTTTTGTTGTTCTAGTGTCTGTGGTATTAGGTAATTGAAGGAGGCACAACTACAGCCAGACTAACTTGAGTAATACTAAGGCAAATATGCAATATGAATACTGCATGCATACATTTTCTTTTAGAAATGTGCACAGTGGAAATTCATCAATTCAAACAATATAAAACTTTTGCTCAGCAACATAAATAGAATGTCACCATAACTACTTAGTCCAAAACATAGAAAATAGAATCTTACCGAATTCTGAAGAAAGTAAAACTGATAATCTAAAAATTGCTTACCTTCCCATCTACGATAGCTGAAAGACTGAGGTAATCAAAGATCTCTGTACAGTATCGCCAAACAGTGATGGAACCATATTTGCGCAAACATTCATCATAAAAGCCATATACCTGGGTAATCTGACGACTCTCGTGGTTTCCTCTAATAAGTGTAATACGGTCTGGGTATCGAACCTAAAAAATAGCATTTATAAAATTTAGTGTTATATTTTGACAATTTGGGGTGTTTAGAGTCAGAGCAATAAGTTGTGGCTACTAAATTACACCACAATCCATCCCTCCCTGTGGCACTACAGCCCATGTAGGGCTTTGGCCTGCCTCACTAACTCCCTTCCACTCAGACCTAACTAATGTTTTTCTTTTCCATGCTTGGATTCCCAGTTGTAGATTTTCACCCCACATCATCCATCCATCTAAGCCTAGGTCTGCCTTTGAGTCGTTTTCATTTAGGGTTTTGGTGATGAACCATCTTCACTCTTCTGTCCTGGCCATCGTAGCTTGCTCTTTTTATTTGTGCTACTATCGTGGGATCCTGAGAAAGACTGTACAATTCATGGTTGGTTCGTATTCTTCTTATTCTTCTTTATTTTGAGGGCTCACGATCAATTATTTGATCATTTTGGCTTCTATGTATTCCCCATCCATATTCATCCTATGTTGGTCCATAAATTTTCCCTCCCCTGTGTTTAATAGGTTTTATGACGTTTTACATCAAAATAAGCAATTATAATATTTTTATTTGCACCAGAAATATACAAATAATGGTATCAGTATAACATAAAAATAGAACCCTAAAGGGATCAATGATTTGCTTAATTAGAATAAGATTGGCAGAGTTGCACTAAGTTTTTTACCTTTAAAGCTAAAAGTAAAAGAAAGGTTTCAACACTGTAAAACCCCCTGTCTACAAAGTCCCCCATGAATAAGTAGTTTGTTTCTGGCACTTTGCCACCAACTTTAAACAGCTCCTTCAGGTCATAAAACTGCCCATGTATGTCACCACAGACCTGTGAATAAAGTAATACGTACTTGTATTTTAACAAATTTGTACATTTGACATAGTTATAGTTAACAAAAATATGGTCTTGAAAATAAGTTTAAAAGATAAATTTAAGAACACCACAAAAATCTTGGCTTACATGATTAGGTCAGGTAACATATATAAAATGATTGACTCACTGTGACAGGAGCATCCACTGCCTGAACATTGCCTTCTTCAACTAGGATTTCTCTAGCTTTGGCACAGAGTGCTTTCACTTCACTTTCTTTTATGACCTCGCACCTTTGCAGCTGCTCAATTTGTCTTTGAGAGTAAATTTTTTAAATATCAATACATGTCACATTTGAAATATCAAGCTAACACAATACTTTTAATTAAAATTTATTTTCAATAATGTTAACAAGCTTTACTTTAATCAAAAGAAGCCCTTCATTGTATTCTTATGTACTGGGTACTTAGTTTAATCCAATCATAGATATAGGAATAAGAGCAAAGTTAATTCCAAAGGAAGTTATTAACTTGGGTATACATTGACTAATTCCTAGAGTAGCAATTCCTAAACGGCCAGGCACCAAAAGAAAAAATTGGGTCACTGAGAAAAGAAAAACAACACTTTTGAAAAACTGGGATTTAAAAAAAAAAAAAAAAAAGATTAAATACTTTCCCAAAACAACTCATTCAATTTAAATTAGCTTTTCTTCTTAACAAATCAATAAAAAATTAACTTGGGTATACATTGAATAATTCCTAGAGTAGAAATTCCTAAACGGCCAGGCACCAAAAGAAAAAATTGGGTCACTGAGAAAAAAAAAACAACACTTTTGAAAAACTGGGATTTAAAAAAAAAAAAAAAAAGATTAAATACTTTCCCAAGTCGACTCATTCAGTTTAATTTAGCTTTTCTTCTTAACAAATCAATGAAATCCCACACATGCACAGAAAAAAATACATGAAGGCCTACAGTGCATGAAGGTTAGGTAATGGGAGTATTTATTTTTAATTTAAATATATCATTATATTAAAAGAACCAATTAATAAGGTGAAAAATCACACAAGAATTGGGATTCTCGCAGCAGATACAAAAAAACACAAAAAAACATTAAAATAATGTGAATCAATTTTGATCAATGTCACCACAAGAATACAAGGTACTAAGGACAGTCTTTACAATGGCTATACAAGTTGAGAAGATGAAGAAATTACGCACCTGAATCAGATAACCTCAATTCAAGGCTGACCAATGTCTGATCTGTAAATCACCTTATTAGTGCAACATTAGTTCATATAACATATTTTTAAAAATTCCTACCTATCAAGGTCACTCATATCCCCCATTTCTGTAGCTTGAGAACTCCACACCTATAATTTTTAAAAAAAAATGTATCATATAGACTGCGCCTAGTTATATTAACAGCTCAAGAGTAATTTTTTATTCTAAAAATAAACAAAGAATGATGCAAACCATTTCACTTAGGCCTGTATTATACATTTTTTGGGGTGTAATTTACCAGCCTTTTTGACCAGGAATATTTCTGTCTTTTATTTTATTAGTATAGCCCAACTACATCTAGATAAATTCAAAGTAATCATTGTCATAGCATCATTTTATGATAACTAAGGCCTATGCTGCCTTCAGCTTTAATTTTTTTTAATGATAGTGTTGACCTATATTTTTTAAAATGCTTTAATTTTTGTATGATGGTGTTGACCTATATTTTTAAAAATTATAGTAGCCTACATTAAACTTAAACATTTTATGGCTGCTACTTGAAGTCATTGCCATAGCCATGTAGGAAGTCAAGAGTTGCATTAGATAGAGCTTAGACGTCAGGCCAAGGCTACTTTAAATTTAATATTTATTAGGCCTTCAAAGATCTCAACCTCAACAATATCAGGACATGTGCTCACTTAGCGCTTCAATTGATTAAACTAGGCCAGGGGTCGGCAACCTTTTGAGACGGAAGAGCCAAAAGTTACAATTTACAAAATTTCACAGTTTTTAAAGAGCCACTAACATTTTTATTTCAATATAATTATTTATTTTTGCGCATGGAACTGGAGAGCCGCATCTTAGCTGCAGGTTGCCGACCCTGAACTAGGCTAATGAAAAATAATTCTCAAACGTTTTTCATCAAAGAAATTATGGTTTGTTGGCCTTCAAAAGTCAGTACTGATAATATTGCACAGGATTGATAGTCCAATTATTTGTATTATTTTAATTTTAGGCCTAAGAGTTAAAAATTAAGTTATTAACACCTCGCCTAGTTAGAAATAATATAAAAAAGAAATTAATATGGGCATATGGGGGAACACAAACTCAAATCAACCAAATCTGACATACACCCCACCCCCCCACTCGCTACTTATGCAAACCTAATACATTAAATTGCCTAGCAATGTACACATACCAGTCGGTCTCTCAATAAGTGTTCTTTCCATGTGAATAGTTTGGAATATTTAAAAGCAGGAAGTTAGGTGAATTTGGTTTTTTTAAATGAGGGTGTATTTATCTCTTTCCTGTTAATAAGCAATGCCATGGGTTGCAAAGTTGGACTAGTATTATTAATTAGTGAATATTTTTTATATTGTTGTACAAGAATGTATAGCTATGGCATTTTAGTTTGATTGCTGGTTTAGTGTCTAATTTAAAATAAATATTCATTCAAAAATAATACCCACAATGAAGATAGGTCAGATATTGACATGGATTATTAAAAAAATACTGAGAATAATAATCGACTTTAAAGAATGATACTGGAGGGTTCTGATGACAATATGATACAGTGAGTGTTGGTCAGAAAATTTGACCAATGCAACTGAACAGATTAAAAGCTTTAGAGAGATAAAAGGTTGCATTGATAGCTTTCCAATTAATAGACACAAAGCAGATTATTTCAGAATGTATGTCAACTTATGAAAACAGAATGGTACAGCTTTGCCATGGTAGTGATGGTGATGCCATACAGCTGTCCCCAGATAATGAGACCCATACCGTGCAGAAAATGTTGATGTTACCATTGCTCAACTGATAACAAGGACAATGGTAGAACAAGGGAAACGACAACAGACTGTACACAAGTTACAAGTGTTACTGATCTGGGCAGCTTTCCAGAAATATAACTTTTGTCCAATTTTTTACCCTGTTGATACCTTCTGACTTACTTTTCCGTGTTATATACTATTCTGTTCCGTAAATTAAATATGTGTGAGCCAGCAATATTTAGTTCAGTGGGAAAGGTAACCACCCAAACTTCGGTTTCCAGAAGCTAGTTTTGTACATGTAATGCATAACTGTAACTGGAGTTCACGATAAATGATAATTTTTCCAAATAACTCATTCCCTCCTGAGCCCACACTTCCTGTTCAACTAAATTTTCCTGAACAAAGGGAAACTACTCCGATTTCAATAACATATGTCTTTTTAATTTTTTTAAAATAATATTTAAACAGTAGTAAATTAAAATTTTAAAAGCATCTATGCACTAAGAAATGGATGAGCTTTCAGAAAAATATAACATTAGTGGTACAACAAGAACAAACTACCATACAAAATTTAAAAAATATCACAAAATTGGATTCTTACACATTTTTTTCAATGTTTAATTCAGCTGTAACTCAACTGTATTGGACAAATTAATTCTTTAAAGTGTCATGATATGTGCTGTTGCAATGTCCACCATGCAGATATACTTGGCACAGATTGCAGCCTTTAGTTGTCTCTTTGGTCCTGCCACTGGGCATTTTTGCCCCAACCACAGAACACTGGTAGCACCTTCTTTTTCTGCCTGGCATTGTAGAGATCATATGCTGGGGGCTGAATGGCATTGTTATGGCAAACCCTTTTTGATGAGGTTTCTGCCTTCATGGTCAGTAGTTGCTGAGCAAGCTTTGATCTGAACCTGAGGTGGTTCTGACTGAACGGGGAATTAGGGTTTATCCTCTTCATTAGAAGATAAGCGCTGATGATGGAGATCTGAATCAGGTACCGATACCAGAATAGATACCTCCACCATTTATGGCTTGGTCTACCAACAGTGTAATAAGACCGGTGCTGGTCTCCTAGGTCAACCCCGAACATGTATGAGTTATATGAATTCACGCTGTTGGGCATTTCGACTTCAACTATGAGTCTTTTTTTGTTCTTGGAACTGACGTCATGTCTGGGTTAGAATTTGTCGAAATCATGTTGACCTGACGTTTGTCAGTCCACTGGCAGGCTACCAGTAAACCCTTCTGTAGCATGGTGAACTCTCCTCTCTTTTGTTTGGACTTCTTTAGAGGCCAGCCCTTGCGGTTCGGCCTAATTGTTGCACAGCAGTATGTGTTCCGTGTCAATAGATCTTGCGCAAGTTTTGGCGACGAGAAAAAATTGTAAAAAAATCTTGTGGCCTTTATCCAGAAAGGGCTCAGTCATGGCCATAACATCGTAACCATTGTTAGAGCTCACCTCTCTTTTCCCAGTATAAACTTTGAAATTTAATATATTAGCTTCGGCGCAGCTCCATATTTTCAATCCCAAGCAGTAGGCTTGTCTTTCATGTACTGCTTGAAGGCAAGTCTTCCTCGAAAGCCTACCATGGCTTCATCCACACTAAGCTGACGTTGAGGCTTGTAAAGGCTCAAGCAGTTGTGTCTAACATGATCCAGAAAGGGGCTCACTTTGTAGAGGGGGTCATAATCTTGGCTGCCCTTTGTCGGTTGCAGCGAGGTATCGTTCACATGAAAAAAGCGGTGAATAATGTTGTAGCGGTCTCTACCCATGACGTCAGCCACTGCAGGAACCCTCCACATGTTGTCCGAAGACCAGTACAGTTTTCCATCTGGAAGTTGATGGAGGCTGAACATAATGTTTATATAGATGTAATTTTTAATGTCAGTGACATCTACTGGGAGTCCATAATTTTATTGTTGAGGCCTTGGTCCCAGACTGGTTGGCCAGTTGTTGCTGGGCATACAGATTGGTTTGTCATCAAAGCATTTGTTACGTAGAGTTTGAAATAGTCTAATGGTAGACTGTCAATAGGAACATCGTGAAGGCTCCCTATATATTCAGAAAATACAGTCATTTTTTTCTGTCACATTTGACAGTTCATCGGACCAGTCAAAGCTAGTTGAATTAGACGCAGTTGGACTATCATTTTCGTTATCAATATTCGTGTCATTGTTAGACTCACTGGATACTGAGTCCAGTTCATTATAATCAATGTCAGAACCCTCTTCTTCTATTAATTCTTCATTGCCATCCATTAGCGATTGCAGAAACTTAAATGCAATTTTATGAATGTCTCAAAAATATTCACAAAAAAATTCACTTCAAGGACTCGCTTGTCACAAGCTTTGAAAATGAACGCAACAAGATAAAAACTTCCGTTTTTTTAAAATTGAAATCTTGTGGAATCTCACTACAGCGTGGTTCTCATTAGAAATCTTGGGCATGTGTGATTTCATTATAAGATTGAAAGGAAAAGTAGGGGGGGTGTGACCAGACGCATTTAGACGGACCCCCCAAGGACGCATTTAGTCGCATCAGGGGGGAATGAGTTAAATTAAACATTTTATGTAAAAATGCTGAGAAACTTGTTTGCGCTGAAAATCCAATGCTTAGGCCTAGGTTTTCATGCAGGTCGATAAGACTGGAAAGCTGAATGTTTGACACATGTCCCATGAAAACTGCATATACCAAGTTACCAAATTTTTCCTAACACCAGGTCCTGACATTATAATAGCGATGTATGAGCAGCTGAAGGCATATCAGCGTTAAACACTGTCCAGAACAGCTATAAATCAATGGACGACTGCATTGTTGCTTATTAAAACAACTTCACCTGATTCTGATATTGCATGCACAAATGAGTCTGTGTAATTGTAATGTCTCTAATGTAATGTGTACTAAACATGCAATACAAGTTTATAATTGAAACTATTTACAATAAGTAGGCCCATAAGATAAGAAAAATATTTAATGTAATTTAACTTTACTTTTATTATAATTTGTGCAACACATAACATAGACCATAGGCTACTGGTTAGTGAGGACTTTTTTTTAACCTTATGACTGTGATATGTCAATGTGCTTTTTTGAGCTAGTAGTTAGTAGTAAATGCTTTAATTTCATGGCTTTAAGTAGGTATCTCGAAAGTCTCACGAGCATGCCGTCTGTGCATATTGAAAAATGACGCAAAAACTGCTGTGGCCATCTTACAATCGCTTCTACAGTGACCTCGGATTTATGCGTTTTACGTCACAATATTTTTTATTTTTAAATTAATTTTCTAATCGATAGCATAAAATATTTGTCCAACGGTGAAGCGCATACAACTTTCCCCAAGAGGGGAACCACCATTTTTTTTCTATGTAGCTTTGACCATCCGGTAAGCTGAAAATACTTAAATGCTCATGTTTTAGCGATTGCACCACATTGGAACCTAAAGAATCCTCTATAGCATCTAAATTGGATGAGGAATAGCTTTGAAATAGTCCATATTCCATAATTATAATAAGACTACCCCTTTCAGATTGTCATCGCCCTACCATCACCGGATGGAAAAAATAAATTTCTCCATTTTTTTTGTATCGTCTTCACCGGAAACGAAATTCGCTCTCGATAACAATTAATAATAATAAGAGAGTTTTAATATTCAGTAATCTTTAAATATCTGAATATATCTAAATCTAAGTAAATCGTTAATTGTAATTTTGGATTACAGAAATAAAAAAAAACACAATTTAATTTAAGCATGCTTCCACCAACTATAATTTATACAGGCCTAAGCTTAGCTACTAAGTATAAGTCTAAGTTTTAAGTACCGGTAGTTAAGTTTAATTTTACTAATACTAGTAATACTGCACTCACAGGCCTAATTTAAATTATTATTTTTAAATTTAATAAGGAATTTAATTAGGCCTAATTTTTAATACTGTACTTTAAGCCTGTACTGTCACAAGAAAGTTTGACTTTAACTTGTGTTCAACAATTCATGATCATGTTTACTTATTTCTACTAATAGTAAATTACTAATAAATAGCCTAATCAAAATAAATAAACTGCCTTAAATGAAATCCACAAAAGTGAACACATCAGTAAATCTGTCAAGTTGAAACCACAAAGTCATCAATGCCAATTTTCAAATAAAAAATATGGTTTTAGCCCATTTCAATAATTTATATTTCTTGATGATGATGATGATTTTTTGATGGGCATGTAAATGTAGGCAATGTAGGCGTTTGATTGAGTTTGAGCAAAACAATCACAAATGATGTGACGTTTCTTTTTATATTTTTTTAAATAATATTGTCAGCAAATCGAAAATCCTTACAAACTATCTTAAATGAATCACAACAGACTCACTAAATGCGACTATTCTGTTAGACTTAGACTATATCTTATTCTTTGAGTCACAATCCCACCAGTCAGTGTTAACACTCCGTAACTAGTTAGTCCAAAATCAAAAACCACAGAAGAGTTTTTAAACATTAGGAAATAGTATTATTAATTCAATAAATTGTACATTATTTGAGTAAATAATACAATACAATTCATAATTACAAGGTATTACTTTTAGCTATCCGTTTTTTAGAACGAATTTTACTTGGTTAAAGTACGATTCACTGTTACCGTGACGCATAGGACGGTGAGCGTATCAGCGTATCATTCACTGTTAAACCGAGTACCTATTAAATCTCGTTTTATCTCGGAGGAAGTTGCTGTGGTTTTCACCAAACAGATGTAAAATAATCCTTTTCTGTTACCGTTTCCATACGGTTGAGGATTGATCACAATATAATTGAAATAGTATTAAATTTTGGGTTTTTTTATTAACCAAATGTATGGCATGGTTGAGCCAACAGACCATTATGATTAAAAGAAATACAAAAACTAAAACAAAAGAATAAATGTATAAAAATGATAATGTTCATTTCAGTCTGGATTTTGTTACATTATTACATTTTCAAGGCTCGTGTAAACATTTTTTTATGCTTGAACCACTTCGTTATTGAGCTAATATCAAAGATAAATTCTAATTTGTTATAACTGCTCGTTTTATGCAAGAAATACATTTACTTTTATTTCCAGAATATTTTTCTTTCTTTTACTTATTCATAGTCATTGTCCAGCCTAGTTGTATGTTATTATCCCTATTTTGTTTATAGATGCTGAATTCAACAACTATTTTTTTAATTAAAAGTGTTTGAAAATAGTTAAGACTAATCTCTATGTTATTTTTAATTAAATAATTGTTTATCACAAAATTATAATAATAATATTCAGAACTACTGAACAATCACAAATTCAAAGAGGAGTAAAGATATGACATTGGCCGCTTAGAACGTAGGCTTACATCTCGGACTCACGAGACTTTGATGGGCTTGGCAAGGGTTGTTTATAATCTGCTGGAATTTTGTGTGTTGCAAAATAATTTACAAACAAGATGGGCAATATTCACACCACTGGACCTAATGAGGCATTAGTTATTTCAGGTAATTTATTTGCACTACAGTCTCTTAGCCTCATTCAATTTAAACCTGCGTTCAGTGTGTGTATCGCTCATCACAAGACTTGTACTGCGTGTAGCATTATTATTAAATAATAAATATCATTCATTTCTATTAGTCATTAGCCTGTCATTAGTGATTCAATAAGTAGCCTATTTATTATTATTAGTATTATTAGTCATTTAGTTAACCTCTTTAATTATTGGTGTTCCACACAATGACTTCACCTGTAACTCATTAGTATTGGTCCTACTATGATTAGCCTACTAGTTTATCTGCCACCACTTTGGATTAAAGTAAAGAAATTAACCTATTGAGCTTGTCACTTTTAATTGAAGTTATTCTCAAAAGACTTTTGAGATTCTGACAGCAGTGACTTAGTGAGTGACTCTAGGTACTTGGGTAAAATTTTCAAAATGAAGTTATAGCTTTAAGAGCTAGTTGGTTAGATAGGGCCTGAAAAAAGCAATTCATTGATAACACCAAATTTATGTTTGTAAGTCGATTCTAAAGTTATGATTTTTTTCATGAATTATTTTGGGATAACTCTGTTCTGTTAATTAAGACATAATATAATATAGGAAAATATAAAATAAAAGTGACTAAAATAAAAACTGGGCAGAGGAGAGAGTTGAGAGTGATGTTAAAAAAGAGCAGTAAATTTAAGTTACTTAATTTAAAGAATTAATTAATGAAGATAACCATTACAAACCATATATTATATAATATATATCAGTATCAGTGATCGTCATAACATTATCCATTATTAATATGTCATAACAATAAATTCTGTGGTAAGCAAGATAAGCTCATTAATATTCAAAATGGACGTAAAATTTCCATAAGTTAAATTTTTAACTACATATATGAACACAACATGAACAGTGAATGCTGTGTTAAAGTAATAAAATTTATTGTAATAATATAATTATAGTTTAAATTATAGTAATAGGCATAGGCATTTTAATCATTTGTGTTCTGTAGGCTAGAGTTTTAGAAAAAGTAAAGTCAAAGGGGTAAACTAAGATTAAACTAGTAGTTTTATTGTTAGTAAGAAAACTTAAGAAACAGTATATAGTATATAATATAATATGAAGTATATTTACCCTCTTCTAAAATGCCTAAGCTTAGCTACTGTCTAATTTATAATCATGGCTAAAGTTTAGGCTAAACTTACTATTCTTACTATTAACTATTATGAACTAATTTACTAGGATGGCATGGAAAAAAAAGTAAATAACAAAACTGCCAACACAAGTGAGAAGCATTGTGCACACACTCACACACTGAATGCATATTTAGTTAGATGAATGAAGTTATCATAATCATATTATTACCCCGCACCGGCAATTTATTAGTCATTAGAGTCAGAGCCTAACTTAAACTAAGACCTGCTGAGACCTAAGCTGCAGGCTAGCCTTTGACATGTTTTTATTTTTAATACTGGTATGTAATTTAATTTTATGGAAACTATAATAATACTAATAGACTTATTCATTAGCTTATGGCAACTAAAGGGACCATCCATAAGTGACTTCACGCAAATTTTGCTGTTTCTTGAAACACCCCCTCTTCCATTGTCACATAAAATCATAAAGTTAGCCCCCCCCCCCCCCCC